CATTCCTGTACCTTTCCATAAATGCACACATATATGGCATATATTGACCATGACCTAGAACATACACCTTCTACCTGCAGATATACCAGGATGTCTCAGATCTCTGACTTTAGTTGTACCTATTTTTTACCATTATTTCCCTGTCAGTAAATAAGAGTAAATGAGTACCATTTCTGTCTCCTGCAAGGCCTGTCATCCATCTTTCTTATTAAAAATGCAGCAACAACAACAGAAACAAATTTAAACAAACAACTACTGCATAAGTGTCTGCATAAAAATGCCACATGGATGACTGGTCATCCTTGGAAGTGGTTCTTAGTTGACAGTAAAACACCTACAGAGGCTAATAGATTAAGGGGGGAGTCCCAGGTATCTGGCTATCTCTGGTGCAATTCTGAATAGTGTCAAAACCTTACTCAGTATAGTAAGGATAAGCTAGTTTGATACTGTGCTCACAAGATGATGCTGCACCACACCTCAGTGAAACAGTTTCCTGCATACCCTTTCTCCGTATTGTTGTATAAGCCAAAAAGTGTGCCAGAAGCTGCAGTGAGACAGAGCATGTTTCCTTTCCTGGAAAACCCACTACAGGCTGGTTCTTTCACTGCAGTGCTCTCCAAGCCTGAACACAAAGCATATACCCCTAGTGGCACCCAGCCTCTCTTGGCTCCTCCCTCTCCACAATCCCTGACCATTTCATGGCTACAGTGGGTGTTTCCTGTTTATCACTGACTGTCAGAAAAACCCAAATTGCCAGACTTCTGCAGAAATGCAAAACTGGCTGTAGTGCAACATTGCTTCTGCAGCTGTTAAGGCTTTTTGTTTGCTGAGTATTAATAGGAGATGAGTTCTGTTCTGCTGGCATTCATGCTGTAATTTGGAAGCAATTCCCTCTCTGGCTCATACCAGTTACATATCTATCTGGCAACATTATGTTGCAAGTTTGTGAAATCCAAAGCAGAAAGGCATGCGCTTCTCTGGGAAAGATATTAATCCTTTTCAAGGTGAAAAAGTAGATCACTAAAACAAACACAAACTTTAAACATCTGTCGTATCTGAAAATGCTGTATGGGTATGAGTAAAGAAATTATTTTTGTTTAGAAAACAGATAAGGCCTTGTAGATGCTCTCAATGCAGGCTATCAGCAAATTCAAAAGCAACACATATTTTGCCCAAATACCCCCAAAAACATAGAAGCATGTTTCAAAAAAAAAGAAAACTATTTTGCATTGTGACTGACCTACCTCACAAAAACATTTTCTTAACCAAGTGAGATTTTAAATACACCTGAAAAAGGTACATTTAATGGCTCCGACTGGGCAGTCCACTGAGAATACTGTGAAAGTACAGCTTAAACAACAGAGAAGCATCTGAAATTTCAGAATTTCAGTTTTATGGAAGAACAAGAAGGCAAATTAAGGCAGAAAATCATTGAAATTTCTTTCCATGTTTTCCTTCGTGTTCTCCACTTGTGATGCACTTCTCATTGCTCGTTTCTTCTTCCCATAGCAGCACGTGCACAACTGCTTTCTAGTGTGGTCCTTTAGGCTGACCCTCTTGGCCAGTAATTATCATTATAATTGTGTTGGATAAATTTCTGTTGTGATAATCTGCTACCATGAAGAAAATAACCTGCAGACGCTTTTCCCTTTACTCACGCCTATTTCAGGTCCCAGACCATCGCATTCCAATTACTATCTACAGTGATTAGATGTCAGCAATCTGCTAAGTACCTGAAGAGTGGCATAATGACTACAGGTTACATGGTAAGAGTGTCATATTTCATTTGCTTCTTAGTTTTCAAAAATGTAGGAAAGAAAGGATAACTAATTGGGGGACATTAAGGCTTTTCAACAAAATGCTCCCAAATATTTTATATATGCCTCCATAATCAATACAGAAATGAATACTAATTCTCTATTTACTTGACCTCCTTTCTAATACTTCTTTTTTTCATATTAATGGGAATTTCACTGTTACAAATCAGCTAGTCTTTAATACCTTTGATTTTTCAAGTTGCCCCATATAGCTCTTTAATAAAAAAAGGCTCAAAGTTATATTTTTAAGCTCTTTATGTCGAATGGCTGGCTGGTCATAGCATAAGCGTAATTTCCTTAAATGTGGTATAAAAACAACCTGGGGGGAGTCCTACAGTCTAACTGTACGCAGTAGAAAAACTTTGACTCCTGAGGTTGGCCAGGATGATTCCCATGGTCCCTCTATAATAATCCTAATACAATAGCACCACCAAAAATATTAAACCTTTATATATTTCAAGACCAGGAACCACACCAGTCTGTATGGGATGCCTGAAATTCTTGAGAAACTTAAATTCTCTATATAAAGCCGACTCTTTATTTGGCCATACAGCAATCTCCCCTTTATCATAGCTCCTGCCAGCTATCATGGGCCAAACACTGCAGTGTATATCTCAACCTTTTCTGAAGCTCTGTGTGGTTGATTAATAGCCAATATTGACTCGTGGTGAAAAGATACCAAAGTACAAACAATTACAGGAAAAGCAAAAGAAGAAATTAAGAGCTGCCTTTGCAACTGAGCTACTCTGTTTTATAGAGAATTAATGCTGTAATCAGCAATGCTCCAGTCAATAGCAAGTTAAGGGAATCATAACATATTACATGGAAAAACAATACAGATATCTTGAAAATAAATTACCATATCTTAGCTACATTTCTTATCTGAGTTTGATTTTGATGACCAGTATCTTTCTGATTCTTGCACACCATATTGTGTGCTATGCAACATAAAAGGAAGATATGATCTCCATCCGAAAAATAACAGTCTGAAGAAAGATTGTTTACACCATCCTCTTTGGATAGAAAATACTTCAGGTTTTCAGACACTGCAGCTTTTAACATAACATTTAATCAAATGCAAAGCTGTGTTCTTCCATATATAAGACTCAACAATGAGCGGGAATTCTCAAATGTGCCTTTAGAGATATAAAATTGACATACATCAACATTCTTCACCACTTCCCACTTCAGTAGTCAAGTAGCTCTAAGAGTATCCACATGTGCTGCTATTTACTACTGCCTACTTCATTTTCTCCTGTTTTAATTCTGGACAGGGCAATGATTTGTCCTTGATGAGTGCACTGGCGCAATCTCAGGGCTGACATTCACAACCTAATGGTATCAGCATAACAAATTACCAAGAGGCAGCAACTTACCAACCATGGGCTGCCCAACTATGGTGTAGTACAACTTAGTTTTAAGCATCAGTGAAGGATGGTTATGCTAATTTGCATTTTCTTACAGTAGGGTAAGTGAAGAATGCACATGCAACCAATTAACAAAAGCTACTGTGTCTCAGCTAATGGGGGCAACCTATTAACCTGACATAATTCATTGTGCAGTTGAGCCCTTAATGAAAAGTGGCCCAGCTAAAGAGGCTTTTGTATTGTGGATCAGGCAAGAAAGCTACTAGCAGCCTAGTAAACTTCCTCAATAAACCAAGGTACTAAGGTCTCCTCAAATTTCAGTCTGGGATTTTGTATCTTCTTTCCACGCTTCTTTAACAGCTAAAAGAAAATATGATCAGTCTCAAAGATTAGTGACCATGGCTCAAAGCAGCTGCAAATTAGAGTCTGCTTTACAAGTTAGATCCTGCAATGAATTTCTGTCCCAAAACCAGGATAACTACACCCAATGTTCTTATATATTAAACAGTTTCCCATCTATGTATTTTTAAAAACACAAGATATAAGCATCCTGTATGTCCTGTAGACATTTCAGTGGCTCCCTTAATTCTTTAGAGCAGCATTCTCAATTTAGTTAAACACTAGGAATTACAGATCATCAGAAATGCCTCATATTGCAAAGAGATAACCTGTTTCTAGGACTGAGTATCTGTAAAATGTTTACATGTAGCATCCTTGCTGATACCAAATACTTAAGGTCAACGCTGGAGATAAAGGAAGTATAACTCTTGGCCTTTACAAATCCTTTAGAATATAGGTTATATCAAAGATTCCTTTGATTGCTCTCAAATTTAGACAGTCTTAAACACATATACCTGACTGTCAAGCAATTTATAAATGCTCTTACCAAATGTCTGAATTTTGTCCAGGAGGCTCAGATAGATCATTGGAAACATTCAGTACAATTGTAAAACTGAAATTGCTACTCTTCTTCATGCTTAACTCCTCCTTAAGGATACATGTGGCTCTTTCACTGCAGATGTTTTGCTATAGACCTCGGTCCAGTCTTTTGAGTACCCTATTTCTATTCTCCAAAAATGACCATGAATTCCATTCACACTAGCACGTGGCAACTCTTTGAAAATAGGAAGGATTCGAATGGTCAGAGACATGGGACAGTCAGGGCTGGAAATGTTAACTTGCTGTATATAAGGTACCTAGTTCTTTGCAGAAACAAATTTAGTGTTTCTGCATTTTCATTGCTAAGGGGGTGGAAAAGAGTTACACTGCATTGCATCAGATGCCCTGGGTAATATATTAATATTATGAGGAACAATTAATTTGAAATTAATGTACCTTGCTGCAACTACATACTGTTATACCTTTATTGGTCTAGATGATAATCAGAACTTGACTCTTTTTACTTTTGAATCCACCTGAATCTCGCGGAAGCTGGATACACCAGGAAGTTTTCCAATTAAAAGCTGGTGTGATTGAGATTATGCCCCTGAGTTAATACCATACTAAAGTTAATGCAGCTCATAGCGAATGATATAGTGCAAATAGCAGCAAATTGAGTAAAACATGTATTCATAACTGTATTTAAAAAAAAAAAGCAAATAAGTCAATGCCCACAAAATTTGTTTGCAGAAATTGCAGGTTTCTATTCCGCCAAGTGATTCAGTTTCTTTCAATACATTTGAAGATTTTGGTAACATTTTTGGCCTTTCCTAAGAGACGTATTGGGCATAAAAACATCATAAAAACAAATATAACAGTTCAATTATCTTTCTGCAGTGACTGAATTATAGCATAGCAGAATTGGAAAAATACTTACGCTCCACAAAGTAAGAGCTGGCATCAATCTTCCAGATAATCTGTCCACGGTGAGAGCCATTGACACCGCGGTTCTTGTAGTCCAGAAAGTTTTCAGACAAGACCTCATCTACAAATAAAGAAAACAGTCTCATCAAGAGCCTGTTATGACAATATGCATAGCAGAGAGTCAGGCTGAAAATAAGCCATTGGCTTGACAGGATATGACTGCTAGGCAGCTTGGCACCACATGTTGAGAAATTAGCTTTATCACTCATTTATATTTTTAAAAGTGCAGACTTTCTTAAAAATAACATCTTTTCCTGAAATCTAATTTTAAAAAACGCGTCCCTACAAAATTCTCAAACATGAAAACATCTAGCTTACCATGGATAAACCACTACCTAATTAAAATAATTATTTTAATCTAATAATAACATAGAATTATCCTCCTCCTTTGCACCAACTCTTCCTTTAAAAAAGCCCCACATAAAATAGCTACATGCAGGTGTCTGTACTATGTTTACTTGTACCACAACAGATGTGGTTATTTCTTGCAGCGTACCACAAGGGACAAATTATTTTTGAAGAATCCCACTCACCAGGTGCCTTCACAACCCTCGGCCTCCAAAACTGTTGTTGACTGACAACAAAACACTGTCCTCTTGCAGTGTTTGAGCCACCTAGCAGCTGTCAGACTACCAACCTCATCTTCAGAGAAGTCAAGGAATAGCCTATAAAAATTAATAACCTCTAAGAAGTTGCTGAGAACCAAGGCTGAAGAAGTGACCCCCTTGTACATGCAGGTCTGTTGTAAATAAAAGGTGGGCAGGTAGTGAGCCTGAGGAGTGGATTTTTGGTTGTCCACAGGTGCAAATTTTTAGTCTGTTTCCAAGTTTCATTTTACACTGCCTCAACAACCTGTTTTCCAGACCACTCTCAATCTGCAAGCCCCATGTGGTGCAGATGTGAGCAAACACATCCCAGCCTCCAAGCAAGGGCATGGTTCTGGATCCCTTTTTATCAAACAGCTCAAAAACCAGCCAGTGGGACCATGCTGCAGCCTCAGGCCCACACTCACCAACTTACTAGCTTATGCCCCACTTTCAAGCACATAAAAAGGCACATATTGCCACCATAACAGGCCAGCACTCATGGTTTTGACCGTCACTAAATACAAAAAATAAAATAGACATATGGAGACATTTCCAGCTGGTCACAGAGGAGTGGGGCTCGCGGGTATCCGAAATGGCCGCGAACTGAAGTGGTTGAAGCAGCAACCTCGGACGGGCTGGGCCGTGGCCTCATTGCTCCAGCTTCGGGGGGATGGAATGGATTTCACATCTGTGCTCTGACAAAGCAAAAGGCCACAATCTTTGCCTGCAGAGACCAGCCAGCAATCTCCCAGATTTTTCCCTTTAGAGATAAGGACAGTTTTAATTTTAACAGATTTGTAAAACTGTACCTTAACCAACTCAACCTTGCTACAGAAACAGTCCTGGGTGGGTGCTGAGACTCGCTTCTGAAGACAATTATATTAATTATTAGTCACCCTAAAAACTGAGAAAAAATGTGAACCACTCAATCTGAGATTAAAATACATCAATTGTAAACACTGGGATGAATTGGCTTTGTTGTTACATATATCAACAAGAAAACAAAGATAATGCCACCCATACAACAAGGGTCACTGTGCCTGAGGACAGACTGATAGTGTGACCAAATGCAGAGCAAAAGACACAGTCCAACAGACAAAGCTGAGAAACTCAAAGACTATCACATTAGTTAAAAAAAGGAAACTTTAAATTGAAGGAAACTACACTTTCACTGAAAGAGTAAAGCAGCAAGAAGATGTCGACATTGTCCCATTGGTTTTACACAGTCATGTTCTCAAAGGAGGAAGGTAAGCAGGTACCAACACTGAACTGTTCAATGCTACTCTCTTGAGAGATTTACAACAGAAATCCTTTTAAAGAAGTCATTAACGATTGCAATGGATAATTATAAATAGCAATGCTATCTACAATAAATTTTTCCTTTGCTGACTTGCTAATTGTAGGAAATTATTTCACTTAGCTGCGTTTCACGCTTTGTATTGAAGTATACCTCTGCAGTAACCCTTCAATAGTAAAATCCTCTGGTATGATTTCTGCTCTTCTGCTATACTTTATAGCTGGTTCTGTCTCTTTTAAATTCTTTTAAATTAAAAAAAGGCAGATAAGTATACAACCGTTACTCTCAGAGTTTGGTTTACTAAGGAATCCCTTCAGTGTAGGGCCATCCTGGATACAGATTATCGAAGATTACCCACATCATTCTGTGGAAGTAGGAACACATGTACATGAGAGAAAACTTAAACTTATTAACTGTCCCTTTTTGCTTTAGCAGGGAAAACACTTCATACTTAAAGATGAGCACATACTGAAATGCTGCACTGAGATGGAGCCTGGGAACCCTGCCTGGCTCTCATCTTGCTGGGGTGCTGAGAACATCCCTCAGTTCCAGCATGCTGCTTTCTGGCTTCATCACTTCTGATATTTATTTGTCATATTTAGTCTCTGTAAGCTGCTGGAGATGCTCCAACACCTGCCATGTTATTAAGATGTATGGGTAATCACTGTTCCTCAAAATATATTGTTTATAAAATACCATGCCTGCTTAAGGAGGCTTAGTTGAGCTGGACTGGATGGCCTTGCTTAAGAAATTGCAGACATTTTTAAGCTAGAGTTTAGTGGCACAAGACATTTCAGAATCAGCTTTAAAATATTGTGTTCATACACAGTATCTGAAGGGGCCAGCTGGCACTGCCACTGCATGGGCTGTTGTCCTCTTCCCGCAGCTGGCACAAAGGCAGCGTGAACTCTGCATCACGTAACCTCTCTAACTTGACAGAGGGGCTGACATATGCCCATATCCAAACTAAATCCCATTCCTATTGCAAGCTGAGCCAATGGGGAGTACTGCAGAAAGCTGTTTCCTCCTTTCTGTTGAAAATGTACGGGAAGTCTGGAAAACCAGGCTGAGAAGAAAGGTCACTATCCATCTGCATGTCCAAGGTAGAAGAACACAGAAGGGAAGGGATAAGCAAGCTTATCCCTTATGGTTACAGCTGACAGGTGAAACCATAGGAAAGCTGGAACAAGCTGCTCCCACTGAATAGCACCTGCACGCTGCCTCCTGCCATGGAGGCAAGAGACAGGGGTGTGCAGGAAGGACAGCGTCCAGAGCAAAGCAGGTCCCCAAGGAAGGGATACACACATGGAACTAGCCATGTGCACACAGTTTATGGACAGTGACCACTGAAATACACACTCAGGCAGCAGAAAGGATATTTCAATATGACTTTATGGAGCTCTGCAATATGCAGGTCACCTCAAAAAGGAGCAGCGGAGCCTTTAAGTATAAAACCAATTTTCTATATAAAACGTATTCGTCATGATGTAGAAATCCAGAATGTAGATTCTTCTCACAGTCAGTTTTAAACCCTGACTGTCTCTTTTGAAAGGCTAGGTACTTTCCTATTTCCAAAGAAATAAAACTTATTTTTAGTCCAGTAGGAATTCATGTTCATTGGGATTTTTAAGCCAGACAAATTTTATCTCTAGAAAAATACATTCAGGTCCAAAAGGGAAATCTCGCTCTTTCATTTTTTGAAGGTATGTATTTTTGGGAGGTGGAAGATAAGAAAGAAATATCCTCTGGCAAGTCAAAAATAGAAGTAGTTGAAACTCGTCAGGAGGCTGGAATGTATGAATATGCCTGATCGACCTGTTTTAATTGGCAAGTGATACTATTCCAGGCATGCTATTCCTGGAACATGGACATCATGTATGTAGCACATTGACAAAGAAAACTCTGCATGTGAAATACAGAGCTGTTAAGTGGACTACATATATGTGCATATGTATGTACCTATATTTATCAACATTCATGCCATACATAAGTGAGTAGATGGTGTGGTATGTAAAGGAGAAAGAGTATGTGCAAAGGAAAATAAATTTAATTTCCTGTTTCTACTGAAAATCCCTATAACAAAGGAACTGACCTTTAAAACATGTTGCATCCTAATTCCCAAAGGTAAATGGTGAAATGCCTCATTTCACCTCCACACAAAAAGAAGAGCAGAGTTAATGCTGCTCCCTTTCATATATTTCAGCCAGCAGCTAATGGCTTTTGACATTTTTCCAATGAGGCACTATAACGCATCTCCCTCCCTCTATTTTTGAAATGTGATTAACCTTTAAACTAGCTCTCTATTTCCTCTGCATAGCCTGGGTTTGGCCCCGCTTGGCCAAAAAGCAAACACTTTGCCATTGCCCTCAGATCTGTGGCTTCATTTCCCTGCATGGTAAACAGCTAACTAATTAGGAAAGTGTAAAATGAGGGAGTATTCAGCATGTGCTGCACTTTGAAAATCATTAGTTGCTCCTGGAGCTAGAGACAGGGATGGTGAGGGTGTCTGAGATGGGGAGCCAGCAGATATTGCTCTCTGGTTCTCCTGCTCTGGGGCACACAGAAGCATCGGCTGCCTCTTGCTGAAGCAGCTGCAGACCTGCAGAGCTGCACTGGGACAGGAGCAGCAGCTCCCACAGACCTCCCACACCTCACACAGTCCCCTAGAGGAAACTGAGAAGGTGATGCATGACCCAGAGCCAGGCAGCTGGGGCCTGAATAGCAGCCAGAGGGACCAAGGCATGCTAGAAACAAATGGTTTGGGAACCAACAGCAATTCTGATGAACTATTTCTCCTCACTAAGCCAGATACCTCCAAGCACAGCATTTTACTGCTAAAAATATTCTGTGCTGTCACTTCCATGCTGGGCATCCCAATATACTTCAAAAGCACTAGAGAGAGAGAAAGAGAGAGAGAGAGAGAAAGAACCATGGCCACCAAAGAAAGCTATCTTTCAGATGAAAGACAGTATCCAGCTGACAAAAAGCATGCTGTTCTTCAGAGGAATTAGGGAAAATGTTGATTGAGGCCACCCCTCCAAAAGATCCGTAAAATATGTAATGGTGACTTTAAGTGCTCTCAGCAGCCTACACTAAACAGACAGGACTTCCATATTTGAAAGCTTGCCTGAAATTCCCACAGAGAAACAGATAGTCAACACATCTTCCTCAGAAGGA